GTTTAGGGTTTAGGGTTCCTGGGTTTCAACATGTGGGGTATCAGGCTAGGATTGTCAGAAGAGGGTTGTTTATTTCTTGAAAAACAAGGGTTTTGAAAAACGGTCTACGGTGCTTAAAAACCCTTGTTCCCTGATGGGGCTATATTAAACATGCTAATGTTAAGTCCTTATTGGGAAAATTATAGTAAGAATGCAAACTTGTTGTCACACAAGGACCCAGTTGTTGTTAGGAACCCATACTTCATTCTCATGGGGTTGAGGACTGGGGGTTTGGCTGGGCAGGGGTCTTCTCTCATTCTCTGGAGCCCTGATTTAGAACAGCCCCTTCTTCCTACACTCCCGAACCCGGCGCGGGCAAAGCTAGCTCGCGATTCAGCAGCATCGTCTGCTTCTCTCGAGAAAGTAGGATGTTCGAGTGTGTCAGGCTGCATCACAACCGGTCGGAGGGTGGAAAATTGTTTTGGGGCTTGTAGGGCTGATACCTTAAACTACCAGGGTTGCTTCGTCCAAAGCCCAATATGTAATTCTAGGGACCCTCCGAAAAGTAGGTTGTGATAGTTCAAGACAGGGACTACATTTAGCTTACCTGTCTGCTCCGCTCCGAGGGGAGGCACCGCCAGGTGTCATTTGAGTTCACTTGACGGAGGTTTCTCGAGCCAAGAGACTCCTACTTCATCCCGAACAGAGACATGAGAAACCTCTGCGCGCGTGCCTTCGAGGCAGGTCACGAAATCAAAACAAGCACTACTGCTTCTGCTTCTCTATGTTAAAACGTAGGAGAATGAATGAATAGAAGGAGGTTCAGCAATTCATGTGAGCAAACAAATAGCAGTCCAAAAAAAATGTTCCTACTCATTCGCGCTCTTGCTTTTGACCCTCCGGCAAAGTATAGAAGCCTGAACACAGAGTTCCTGGTTGTGTTTACGCTGCAATATACCCCAAAGCCCTATTATAATGATTAAATAAAGGCTCCGCACTACATGCTCCTATATTACGCGCCCAAACTGGTTTTCAGAAGCCCTGCCGGGCCTCTGAAAAACATGATTTTCAACCAGTATACTTGTAGTTCTAACGTAGCATATAAAGCCTCAAGCAGCACCTCATGGAAGCTTCAACGCTCTTGGCCACACACTCCCCAAACCCTAAACCGCCAACAGCCCCAAAACTTTAACATCCCAAACCCTAAACCCTAAACCTTAACCCAAAACTTGAACATCCCAAACCCCAAAGCCCCCAAAGATCCCAAACTGTTAAAAGCATCACACCCTAAACTTTGATCTCGGACCTTCCTCGGGTCAGAAGTGGACAGTCCGGTCCGGCTTGACAAGCGAGGCCTACCAGTTTAGGGTTTAAAGGGGCTTATAAAGGCTTCGTGGGATTTAGAGTTTAGGATTTAGGCGCTCTTCGTTTTGTGGGTTTAGGGTTTAGGGGCTTGAGGGTTTAGGGGTTTGGGGTTTAGGGTTTACCTGAACCCCAAACGTTTGTAGAAGAATAGCCTGCTATGGGCAGTTATGGGTCTTGGGCCATTCTTTTACCTACGTTAGGAGGTTTGGGGTTTAGCGCAAGGAACCTTTCCGTGCGACGTGTACAGGGTTGATTCACCCTAAACACTAAACCTTATAACAGGGTGTTAGAGGGTGTTATGAGGACACTGTAGGGCTTCAACAGGGTTGAGGGTTTAGGTTGGGGGCTGCCCCCTCCTTGTAACAGTGACCACAAACAGCAGCACCAGAAAAGCGCAACCGAACACGTTTACAACCTCGAAACGAGCTGGAAAAACGAACCACCCCCATGTAGGGATCGAAAGAGCCCGTATAGCCCCTAAATAAATATTGTACCCGAGAGACATTAAGCTATTCAGAGAAGCTCCCCTGATAAAAACCCAAAATTCTCTCTTCGAGAATCCTTAACCCTATGCTACGGATTACGGCCTCTATACGAAGTCCTTCTCTTACTCCGGAACCCTTCTAGCAAAGTATTAGCATGCCCCAACCCCACTTCTAATTACTAAGGCCCCTTTGTCAAAACCCTGCCTGACTGTTTGCAAAGCTCTGGCCCCTAAACCCTAAACCAACCCTAAACCCCTAAACCCCTAAACCCCTAAACCCCTAACCCCTAAACCCTAAGCCCTATAAACCCTAAACCCTATGAGCCCTGCCTCACTGTTTGCGAAGCTCTGACAGTCCGGCAGGTCCTTGGCCCCAGCAGAAATCTGAGCCCTAACGGACCACCCGGCGCATAACAGCCAAATTCACATAGGGTTTAGGGTTTAGGGTTTAGGGTTTAGGGTGCCTTCAGAATTGGAATGGTGTTTTGGTGATTCCTTTGTTGTTTATTATTATAGGTATAGCATAATATACCCCA